GTAGCCAGTAGTCACATGTCACGTCCAGGTCCTAAATTTTGGAAGATTATGGACCCCAGTCTTTGATTGATACCGATTGCGCCTTATATCATCACGCTTTAACCTCCCGACGGGTCTCTCTTCCAGATGTTCTCGTCAGAGTATCTTTGTCCGGGGCGGCGCCAAATTCAGACCCGTCTATTGTCTGGATCGATGCAAAAGCGACCCTTGTCGCTGCAGATCTTACGCTACCACTATCGATGACGTCAGTTAACGTGGTTCTAAGCCCACTGGGGACGAGCGCGTCGATGATTGACGTTCAGGGATGATCTCTTCTCCGGACGCCGACAACGCAGCCCCCTGACCACAAGTTGGTGGCGTATGGTACGGTCTCTTACGGCTCTACCGTGCGTTCCTATGGTGTTCTTAGCTGTTTCAGAGGCAGACAACCCGTGGATCTCGGCGATGCTGACGCACGACGAAGCGGTCTTGGGCACCTGTTGTCAGTCGAGGTCTTCCGCTTCTTTGGAGATCTCTCGTGGAGTTGGTTACCTGGAATCTGTTTTGCAGACAATAGATAGTGCTGGAATGCACTCCCAGGACTGTTACCCCCGGCTTGCAGACGTCCAATAGCTCTTTCTCGATTTTCCACAGATAAACTTGGCATCTTGATAGTCGTACTATGCAACACTCAAACATTTTAGGGCAGAGAATGTATAGTTATAGGCCAGACCAACTTAACATGGGAGCAAAAATTCACTATTCAATTTACGTTTTAACTGCATAGCATTGAGAGGGTTGCTTTGTTGCATTGTTTGATGCTTAAAAGCGGCCAAAGAGCGTGTTGTGGTTTTTTTTAATCGAGCTAATCCAATAAGAACAACACATTGTGAATAGAGACAAATGAAAACATCTCACAAAAATACTCAGTTTTATTTTCTACATATGGTTTTGCTTTTTCGCTTAATTTATGCCGGCCAGTATAATATTATCCCCAAAGAGGTAATAAATACATATATATAATACCATTCTTAGTTATTTCCCTTTTGTTGATATTTTAGTTATGTCCCTTTAGGGGATTTTTATTTGGTTATGGCCCTTTTTGGGTATCTTTCTAAGCTATTTCCCTTGGGGGGTGGAGGGGGAGCCAGTCAGAGACCATATCTTAACTTATATATTTCAGCAAATTGGCTTTTCCTTCTGTCTTGTCTTAAATTTTTCTCCAGCACCTTGAATTAATTACTTTGTAGTTTTAAAAAATATATAAAAAGTTGCCCCATCAATTTGAACCAAAACTACTATAACTTTTTTTTTTTAATAATGAATATTTTACACCAACATAAACACAATTTAGATCATTAAAAGTTTAGAAGGTGGACTTCGACCCTGCCTGTCAACCCGGATTGAGAGGCATGCAAAGTCCCAGCAGAAAGATTGAGATACTTGATAAAAATCCTCCCAACATGGTCTTCTGTGTGCCATTCCAGAACACCTAACCGCTACAATAAGAGACCTGTGATCGTATACTTATATTGTACTTGTAAATGTTAATGTTAAACACCTGTATTGATTTGACATTGATCATTTATGAGGCAGGCTGCGTGAATCCTGTCTGTTATGGCCAACAAGGACACAGGGGAATTCAACATCCCGGCAGATAGACCAAGCTACAAGATTTAAAGAAAAACGCAAGTCATTCAAAAATCGAAATGAAAAAACAGAGTGTCATGGCAAAGAGCCTTACTTCTACACCACAGACTCTGGTACATCTAATTAAACACGAATAAAGAAAGCACAAGGTAAAGTGGAAGACCCATACCCCTACATAAGACACTAAGGTACAACATGCAGGCAAAAATGGGCAATACACTGATGACAAGGAAAATGATAATGAAAAGGGACTTTCACTTTGACTGAAGAGAAGCCTATTGAAACAATACCGCCATTTAGATCTGAGGAAAAGTAAGACAGATAGAAAGAAATAACAGAGGGAAAGAAAAGATGGACTTACTAGTGGCATTCTCCAATCACTCATGATGAAAAGGGAACATAAATACCTAGCCAATAATACAAACAAATAACTGGAAAGATAGATTCCATACAGCAAATTTATTAAATGTATTTTTTAGCTTCGTGCACAAAAGGAACTTTGTACAGTTCTGACAAGTCCAATTTTACACAAAGACAGGTAAAGTGACATTCCTAATACATAGCATAGACAGTTCAGACAGTCTTTTTACACAATTAATCACGCACTGTCACTTATCACTATAAAACTTCTCCGGCAAACAAACAAAATAGTGTTCTTAGGGGTCAACAGTGAGTGGTCAGAGGTAAGCCATTACATGAGGCACAAGAGGCAACAACGAGGGGTCGGAGTTAATTCAAGACATGAATCCTAAAGGATCAACACAGGTCAGACTACAGGCTAAGTTCTGAAGGGTCGCCAAGAGCTAACTGAAGACTAGAGTACCGAGGGTCAACAACATGGGGTCGGACTAAAGCTAACTCAGGACGAAAGTACTAAGGGACAACAATGTGGGGTCTAACTGAAGGCAAAATTATAAATGGTCAACAACGAGGGGTTGGAAATAAATCAAGCCATGAGTCCTGAGGGCCAACAACGTGGGGTCGGACTAAAGGTTAAGTTCTAAAGGGTCACCAAAAGGGGTCGGAGCTAGGTCAAGACGCGAGTCTTGAGGGTTAACAACATAATAATAATGTAGATCATTTCTATAGCGCCCACTCTCGTTTGAACACAGCTCTAGGCGCTTTACATAAATGCATGTATGAAACACACACACACACACACACACACACACACACACACACACACACACACGCACACACACGCACACACACGCGCACACACGCACACACATGCTTGCCGAACACACACACACACACACACACACACACACAAAATCTACTTGCTTATCACACGCGCACGCTTACACATCGTTTTGAAATGAGCACATACAAATACATAATAAAATATATACAATACAATTCGCGAAATACTTGATACGTAATCATTTACAAAACATTGTACTGAGCATGATTCAACTGATATAAAAATGATGTCATTAAATGTGTCTTTAAAGATATTTTAAATTAAGACTCAGATGTGTGTCTGAAGGGTTGGGGAAGAGAGTTCCAAACTGATGGAGCAAGGTGGGCAAACGACCTTTCAACATGAGGTCGGACGAAAGGTAAAGTTCTAAAGGGTCACAGCTAAGTCAAGACATGAATCTTGAGGGTCAACAGCGTGGGGTTGGACTAAAGGTTAAGTTCTAAAGGGTCACCAATTTGAGTTGCAGCTAAGTCAAGACATGAAACTTGAGGGACAACAACGTGGGGTCGGACAAAAAGTAAAGTTCTAAAGAGTCACAGCTGACTTGAATCTTAAGGGTCAACAACTAAAGGTAAAGATCTAAAGGGTCACAGTTAAGACACTCTTGAGGGTCAACAACGAGGGGTCGGACAAAAAGTAAAGTTCTAAAGAGTCACAGCTAAATCAAAACATGAATCTTGAGGGTCAACAGCGTGGGGTTGGACTAAAGGTTAAGTTCTAAAGGGTCACCAATTTGAGTTGCAGCTAAGTCAAGACATGAATCTTGAGGGTCAACAACGTGGGGTCGGACGAAAGGTAAAGTTCTAAAGGGTCACAGTTAAGACACTCTTGAGGGTCAACAACGAGGGGTCGGACTAAAAGTAAAGTTCTAAAGAGTCACAGCTGACTTGAATCTTAAGGGTCAACAACTAAAGGTAAAGATCTAAAGGGTCACAGCTAAGTCAAGACAGTCTCAAGGGTCAACAACGTGGTGTCGGACTAAAGGTAAAGATCTAAAGAGTCACAGGTAAGTCATGACATGAGTCTCAAGGGTCAACAACGCGGGGTCGGACTAAAGGTAAAGTTCTAAAGGGTCACCAAAAAGGGTCGGAGCTAGGTCAAGACGCAAGTCTTGTGAGTCAACAACAACAACAACATTATAATAATAATAATAATAATAATAATAATAATAATAATAATAATAATAATAATAATAATAATAAAGATCATTTCTATAGCACCCACTTCGGTTTGAACACAGCTGCATACGCTTTATATAAATGCATGTACGAACAATACACACTCACACACAACACACACAACACACACAAACACACACACAACACACACACACAAACACACACACACACACACACACACACACACACACACACACACACACACACACTCGCTTTTGACACACGCTCGCTTACACATCATTATGAAACGAGCACATACAAATACATCAAATAATATAAACAACGCGATTTGCAAAAAACATAAATATGGACACATATTCATTTACATAAAAATTGTACTGAACATTAATCTACTTGTATAAAAATGATGTAATTAAATGTGTCTTTAAAGATAATTTAAATTTAGACTCAGATGTATGTTGAGGAAGAGAGTTCATATGATAATTGATGGAGCGAGGAGGGCAAACGATCTTTCAACATGAGGTCAGACGAAAGGTAAAGTTCTAAAGGGTCACCAGAGGGATCGGAGTTAAGTCAAGACACGAGTCCTGGGGGTCAACAACGTGAGGTCGGACTTAAGTCTTACTTAAAGGGTCACCAAGAGAGATTGGAGCTACAGTAGAGCACACCTATAAAGAGCACCCTTGTAAAGAACTGATGGAAATAAAGAACACATTTCTTTGTCCTGGTTTTTTTTTTCATTTTGTGTCATTTCTATTTTGATGCTTTTAGTAAACATACTGATGGTTGTAACGAACCAATTTTCTTTCCCAACATGTATTCTCCCTTCTTATTTATGACTGAAGTAACGGACCAGCCCATCTCTACGAGTTGACCTAACCAAGAGTTGCACAACTGCCATGCGAGTCTTGCCTTCACAGTGACTAAACACTGTCCACACACTTATCGGTACAAGCGGGTGGCTGAAACAATGGATTCGCATCTTTTTTTTCTTTGTTCAACCAATCCCCAAGCCTGAGGCTTGGGGAGGGGAGGCGCCATTCAATTTATGGACATTGCAACATCAGCAGTGATTTCCGATGTTGGAATTGTGGAGCAAGTGAATGAAGCTTCTAAAAAACAAACAGTGAAGACCATGAGCAGATAAATGGGACAATGAGCTTTGCGGAGGCAAAACAAACTGGAGAAATTGAACAACTAGATCTATTTCGTAGTCAATTGGAGGGGGGGAAGCATTTTTCCCCCAAGCAAACGGGCATACAAAAGTTTGTCAGGAGAAACAGAGCAGCAACAAACATCCATAACTACCTGATTCCCTTCTCTTGGGTAGAAATGTCCACATGGACCATGTATACAATTCCTATTACTATGACCAAAACAACATGGGATTGCAGTAAAGTTCTAGCTTTTCATTTTTTTAAATATCTTCAAGCTCTAAAAAGGCTTCCAATTTTGATGAATCAGTGGACTTCAGACTTTTCACAACTACAAACTTCTGGTCAAGAAAATACTGGTGGTATCAGAACGTCTCCCACAGAAGGCCAAAGGCCAAACTAAAAGCTGGCAGTGCTTGTTTATTTTTTAATGATCAAGTGAGTAAACATTTAATTATGGTACCAGCAAAATGCAAGGAACATTTTAGAATACAAAATCAACTCCAACAACCACACACTCAAGCTTAAAAACAGCAGGCAGCTCTTCTCATCCTATTCCAACCCTGCCACCCCCCCCCCTTAAAAAAACTTACTCTGCCCCCTCAACTACCTCCAGCCATGGCCATGGCAACACCTACGAAATCCTACTCTGAACCTAGCCTAACCACCTAGCTCCCTATCAACCTATCTGCCCTTCTCTACAGCTACAGCTACAGCCCCACTGTGTCACTTTAAGCCTGAGTGTGATATACGGAAAATGTAGCACCAGAGCACCGCGAGACATGTTTGACCAGAATAGTGGCTAGACCTTCTAATGTCACCAAAGTTTGTACTAAAAGTAAGAACAAAATGTCTTATTGTTCTAAATCAGTGACCATGTATCTCTGACTTCTTTACAAAATCTCCAGCTGGACATCATACAAGGAATTTCTCTTGAGTCTTTACTGGTTTTACAGCACTATCAACATAACTTCACAAGAGAAATAAAACTGCTTCATCAGCTTTTAAAGTTGTTCATGGTAGCTATATAGAGGAAGTGACTAGTCCGTTCAAGAGCAGCTACATGTTGGCGGGATTCTAGATGCCTGGCAATTGTCCGTTAGTTCTTGACCGACTGAATGAAAGATTGTTTCACAGTGTTATTGACACAATGTGATAATGTCTGCACAGCACTCTCACTTGGCTGGATGTCAGGTACAGAAGGGGGGATGCTACAATCCAGGGTGAATGGAAGACCCTTGTCTGGACAGGGCATTTGCTTCTTGGGTGGTTGTCAACTGTTGGCTTGGCAGCTTTCTGAGGGGAAAAAATGAGTTAGCTTGAGTTGCCAAATTTGAGTAACGACAAGTACATAGATGCAATTGTGGTCACTTTGAGTACATTATTAATAAACCTACTGGAAAAAAGAAAAAAGGAGGACCTGACATTAGCACCCTCCACCAACCAACAATAAGATATAGTAGTAAATCTAGTTTTTTTTTATTATGTACCGGGTATTTCTTAAGGTGCAACCGAGAAAATTTATGTAAGTGCCATTCATACAGATTTTCCAAATATCTACCTTAATTAGTCCTGATTAAAAGGAAAGAAGGACATTTATTTTTAAAATCAGTAAACACATTTTATCATTTTCCCTTTTCATTTAAATGCAAAATAACTTTTACATTGAACCCATACCCAACTCACCAATAGATATTTTTTTAATTTTACTGTAATGATGAACAAATAATGTTCCAATAGATATTTTAATGACAAATACCTCCTGTAGATGGTCCTGTCATGGAATCCTTTGGGTTCTCTGCTCGTTGTCCTCTCCAGAGGGTGGTCCTGGTGATGAAAGCGTGTTAATTAAGAATATCCACTTTCATTTACACAATGTGTTCTTTAGTTTAAGAAAACAAAACAAGTCTGTAATATTGTTTATGGTTTAAAAGGAAAGGAGAATATTAATAAGAAAAAAATTCTGTCAGTAAAAACATTTAACCCTTTTTTCCCCCTGCAATAATAAAACTTTTGCATTGAACTCAGTCCCACTTGTAAATTAATACTTTTCAAATTGTATTTTAAAAATAAACAATGTTCCAAGACATATTTCACAGACAAATACCTCCTGTAGATGGTCCGGTCGTGACATCCATCAGGTCGTCCTCCAGGGGGTGGTCCTGGTGATGAAGTACATTTACAAAAATCTGTCAGTAAATACGTTTAACAATGTTTATTTTTTACCAAAGTGCAAAAATTTAACTTTTACATTGAACCAAAGTCCCACCAATAGATATTTTTTCTAATGTTATTAGAATTAGGGATGTAGAAATGGGAAAATGTTCCAAGAAATATTTTAAAAACAAATACCTCGTTAAGATGGTCCGGTCACGGGATCCTTCGCGTCGTCCTCTCAAGGGGGCGATCCTGGTGATGAAGGAACACATCAATTAAGAATATCCACTTTCATGTACACAATTTGTTCTTTTGTTTTAAAAAACAAAAATAGTCGCAACAATATTGTTTACTTGTGGTTTTAAAGGAAAGGAGGACATTTATACAAATCTGTCAGTACATACCTTTTCCCATTTTTATTTCTCACCAAAGTGAAAAAAGTCTTTGCCATTGAACTCAGTACCACAGATAGGTATTTTTTCTAATTTTAAAAATAATGTTCCAACAAATATTTCAATGACAAATACCTCCTGAAGATGGTCCGGTCGTTGGACCCTCCCGGTCGTCCTCTCCAAGTGGTGGTCCTGGTGATGAAGATGTGTGTTAATTAAGAACATCTTTCATCTATACAGTCTTGCTTCTATTTCAGAAAATTAGAGTTCCCATAATATTGTTTAGCCTACTAACGATTTAAAGGTAAGAAAAACATTTTATCGTTTTCCTTTTTCACTTAAATGCAAAATATTTTTCATTGAACCCAGACCCACCCCACAAATAGATAAGACATATTTCACAGACAAATACCTCTTGTAAATGGTCCGGTCATGGGATCCTTCGGGTCGTCCTCCAGGGGATGGTCCTGGTGATGAAGACATACGTCGAATTTTTTAGTAGAGTCACTATAATATTGTTTACTTATGGTTTAAAAGAAAATGAGAATATAAAAATCAGTCAGTATATACGTTCTACATACGTTCTACATACGTTCTACCATTTTTTCCCCTAATGGCAAAAATAAAACTTTTGCATTGAACTCAGTCCCACCAGTAGGTATTTTTCGCCTTTTACAGAAATAATAAACAATGTTCCAAGACATATTTCACCTCTTGAAGATGGTCCGGTCGTGGGATCCTTCAGGTCGTCCTCCTGTCCAGGGGGTCGTCCTGGTGATGAAGACGTGTCATTTTAAGAAATACATTTACAAAAATCTGTCAATAAATACATTTAACAATTTTCGTTTTTTACCAAAGGGCAAAAATAAAACTTTACATTGCACCAAAGTCCCACCAGTAGATATTTTTCTAATGTTACTGAAATTAGTGATAAAGAAAAGGACAAATAATGTTCCAAGAGTTGTTTCAATGACAAATACCTCCTGATGATGGTCCGATCGTAGGATCGTCCAGGTCGTCCTCTTCAGGGGGTGGTCCTGGTGATGAAGATTAATTCAATTAAGAATATCCACTTCCATCTACACGATCTGTTCTTTTGTTTTAGAAAACAACAAAAGAGTAGCTATAATATTGTTTACTTATGGTTTAAAAGGAAAGGAGGATACTTATAAACATCTGTAGGTTTTTCACCATTTCACTAAAAAAAAAATCATCTTAGTGCAAAAATAAAAATTTTGCATTGAATTAAGTCCCACCAGAACATATTTTTCAAATTTTACTGAAATAATTAACAAATGTTCCAAGACATGTTTCACAGACAAATACCTCCTGTGCATGGTCCGGTCGAGGGGTGTCTCAGGTCATCCTTCGTGCCGTCCACATTTCACGCCACTCCAACAACCTCACACTCAAACTCAAAAATCAGCAGGAAGCTCTTCCCACACCATTCTACCCGTGCCACCCATCCCTTCCTACCTCCCACCCCCCAAAAAAACAAAAAACCTGCACTACCCCCTCAACTGCCTCCCGCCATGGCCATGGCAACACCTACAGAATTCTACTCTGAATCTAACCTATCCACCTAGCTCCCTATCAACCTATCTGCCTATCTCTACTGCCCCACTGCATCAATTGAAGCCTGAGTGTGATATGTGGAAAACGTAACAGACCACTATGATACTTGTTAGACCAGAAAAGTGAAGAGACCGTCTGATGTCACCAAACTTCCGGCCGTCTGAGAAAAATAAATTCAAAGTTAAATTACCGGTAATTATTGAACTTTTGAGTTTGAGTAAAGAGAATCACAAAAATGCAATAATTTGTATTTAATGTATGAGACAAATAAGAGACAGGCACAAACAGGGGAATGGAAAAGAGAAGGCCCTGCAATTGGCACACTCCCCCACGGACAATGACAAATAGGAATATACTGGTTTTTGATTGAGTATATAATATTCTATTTTGCTATGGAGACAATTTGTTAATGTAATTGCCACACACAGATTTTCCAAACATCTTCCTTTCTTACAACAGTATTCATTAAAAGGAACGACAAGCATTTGTGTCAAGGCGAGGTAGGAAGGACATTTATAGAAATATGAAAGCATACATGTTTTACATTATTCGCCTTAGAGCAAAAATAAAACTTTTACATAGAACCAAAGTCACACCGATGGGTATTTTTCTAATTTTACTAAAATTAGTGATGAAGAAATGTACAAATAATGTTAAAAGACATATTGCAATGATAAATACCTCCTGAAGATGGTCCGGTCGAGGTATCTTCCGGGGTAGCCCTCCGGGTTGTCCTCCTCTTCAGGTGCTGGCCCTGGTGAAAAAGACTTGCATCAATTCAGGACATTTATTTTAAAAAATATGTCAGTATACATGTTTTACCCTTTTAAATGCTCACCTAGATGCAAAAATAACCTTTTACATTAAATGCATTACCACATATAGGTATTTTTATCATTTTACTGACAAAATGGACAAATAACGTTCCTAGAGATATTTTAATGAAAAACACCTAAAGATGGTCCGGTCCTGGGATCTTGCGGGTCATCCTAACTCCAGACGTTCGTCCTAGTGATGAAGACAAGTGTCAATCAGGGACGAAATTTTCAGATCTGGAAAAGTATACATATCTTACCATTTTCATTTTTCACCTAAGAGTTAAAATGAAACTTTTACATTGAACCCGAGTCCATGGGTATTTTTCTAACTTTACTCAAACTACTGATGAAGAAATGGACTTTTAATATTCCAAGACATATATTTCAATGACAAATACCTCCTGATGATGGTCCGATCGTAGGATCGTCCAGGCCGTCCTTCTCTCCAGGGGGTGGTCCTGATGATGACATGTCTATTAAAAGTATCCACTTTCATCTACACAATTTTTTCTTTTGTTTTAGAAAACAAAAAGAATCGCTATGAGGATATTTATAAAAAGCTGTCACTAAATACGTTTTGCTTTCTTTTTTTTCACCTAAGCGCAAAAATATAACTTTTGCATTGAACCAGTAGGTATTTTTCAAATTTTATTGAAATAATAAATAATGTTTCAAGACATATTTCACAGACAAATACCTCCTGTCGATGGTCCAGTCATGGGATCCATCAGGTTGTCCTCCGGGTCATCTTCCAGGGGGTGGTCCTGGTGATGAAGACGTGTCAGTTTAAGAAATTTTACAAAAATACGTTAGTAAATACGTTTTACCATTTACATTTTTCACTAAAGTGCAAAAATAAAACTATTACCTTGAATGAAAATCCACCAATAGATATTTTTTCTAATGTTACTAAAATTAGTGATGAAGAAATGGACAAATAATGTTCAAAGAGATATTCCAATGACAATTACCTCCTGATGATGGTCTGGTCATAGGATCCTTCAGGTCGTCCTCTCCAGGGGTTGGTCCTGGTGATGAAGACGTGTCGATTAAAAGTATCCACTTTAATCTAAACACCTTTTGTTTTAGAACACACAAAAATCGCAACAGTATTTTTTATTTTGGTTTAAAAGGAAAGGATCGGGACATTTATAAAAATCTGTAGGTAAATACATTTTCCCATTTTTATTTTTCACCAAAGTGCAAAAATAAATCTTTTACATTGAACTCACTACCACAAATAGGTACTTTTTCTAATTTTATAGAAAAAATGGACAAAAAATGTTCCAAGAGATATTTCAATGACAAATACTTCCAAAAGATGGTCCGGTCGTGGGATCCATCGGGTCGTCCTCCTGTCCAGGGGGAGGTCCTGGTGATGAAGATATGTGTTAGGAATATCTTCTTTCATCTATACTTTTTTCTTTCTCTTTCAGAAAATAAAAAGAGTTGCCATAATATCGTTTACTACTGATTTAAAAGAAAAGAAATATATTAAATCATTTTCTCTTTTCATTTAAGTGCAAAAATAAACTTAATTTAACGGAACCCAACCAGTACAGCTAGGTGTCTCTTTTAAATAACTGAAATAATGAAACAAATAACGTTCCCAGAGTTGACTTATTTAATGACAAATACCTCAAGCAGATGGTCCGGTCATAGGATCTTTCAGGTCGGCCTCCTCTCCAGAGGGTGGTCCTGGTGATGAAGATATACGTCTAATTAAGAATATCCACTTTCATCTACACAATTTGTCCTTTTGTTTTTTTTAAACAAAATAGAGTCGCCATAATGTTTACTTATGGTTTGAAAAGAAAGGAGGATATTTATAACAATCAGTCAATAACTACATTTTACCTTTTTTTTTTTCATCTTAGCGCAAAAATAAAACTTTTGCATCGAACTCAGTCCCAAAAGTAGGTATTTTTCAAATTTTACTGAAATAATAAACATATTTCACAGACAAATGCCTCCTGTAGATGGTCCGGTCGTGGGATTCATCCTCCAGGGGATGGTCCTGGTGAAGACATGTGTCACTTTAAGAAGTGCATTTACAAAAATATATTACATACGTTTCACAATTTTCATTTTTCACCGAAGTGCAAACATAAAACTTTTACATTGTACCAAATTCCCACCGATAAATATTTCTCTAATGGTACTAAACTTAGTGAAGTACAAAAGGACAAATTACGTTCCAAGACATTTCAGTGACATACCTCCTGAAGATGGTCCGATCGTTGGATCCTTCGGGTCATCCTCCTCTCTAGGGGTTGTTCCTGGTGATGAAGACGTAAGTTAATTAAGAATATCTTCTTCCATCGATAGTTGGGGTTTTTTCTAATTCAGGAAATTTAAAAAATGTCCATAAAATTGCTTGCTATATCTTCTTTCATCTATAGATCTAGTTGGGTTTTTTTCTCATTCAGAAAATAAAAAGAGTTGCCATAATATTGTTTACTACTGATTTAAAAGAAAAGAAATACATTTTATCACTTCCCCTTTTCACTTAAATGCAAAATAACTTTTACATTGAACCCAGACCCACCCACCAATACATTTTTCAAATTTTACTGTAATAATGAATGTATAAAGTTCTAAGACATATTTCACAGACAAATACCTCCTGTCGAAGGTTCAGTCGTGGGATTCATCAGGTCGTCCTCCGGATCGTCCTCCAGGGGATGGTCCTGGTGATGAAGACGTATCAGTTTAAGAAGTACATTTACAAAAATCTGTCAGTAAATATGTTGAACAATTTTTATTTTTTATCAAAGTGCAAAAATTAAACTTTTACATTGAACCAAAGTCCAACCAATTGGTCTAGATATTTTTCTAATATTACTAAAATTAGTGAAGTAGAAATGGACAAATAATGTTCCAAGACATATTTCAATGACAAATACCTCCTAAAGATGGTCCAGTCGTTGGATCCTTCAGATCGTCCTTTCCAGGGGGTGGTCCTGGTGATGAAGACGTGTTAATTAAGAATTCATATTTTCTTTCATCTATAGTTCGTTTTTCTTTTTCAGAAAATAAAAAGAGTTGCCATAATATTGTTTAAAAGGCGATAAATACATTAAATCGTTTTCTCTTTTCATTTAAGAGCAAAAATAAAACTTTTAAATTGAACGGAATCTTACCAGTAAGCCAAGGTATCTTATTATTGAAATAATGAACAAAAATGTTCGAAGAGATACTTTAATGACAAATACCTCCTGTACATGGTCCGGTCGAGGGGTGTTTCAGGTCATCCTTCGTGTCGTCCTCCACATTTCACGCCACTCCAACAACCTCACACTCAAACTCAAAAATCAGCAGGAAGCTCTTCCCACACCATACTACCCCTGCCAGACACCCCTTCCTACCTCCCACCCCAAAAAAAAAAAAAAAAAAA